AACATATAAATATATATTAAAATATTTTATTTAAAAATTAAATTATATTAAAAAATAACAAAATAAATAATTTTTATGTAAACTTTATTCATTAAAATCATAATACAAATATATTTGTCTCTGATCTTAAAAATTTACCACATATATTTGAAGTGTATAAAAATAATTACAAATTCTAAAAATTATATTTATTTTTAGAAAATATAAAAATAAACTATTTACATTTAATTTTATTCATTAAAGTCTTAATATTATTGTATTTTATTAAAATAATGACCACAAAAATAAGTATATTTTATTTTATTATTTCAATGAAAAACTAAAAAACAATTGATCTAGTTAAGGTCAGGTCGACCAGACAATGACTGAACCACTTTGAGTATGATCGGACCTTTTGTTGCCCGATTTGGATGACCCATACGAAAAGTCAGCTTGTTGCCTGATCTGATGGACCTACCCGTAATGATCTAGGGCAGGTTTCATGCCATCTCTAGCCGAAAAATTTATTGTTAAACTCATTTTGTAGTAACTGTCACATCAAACAAAGCAATAATTCATCTCCAACCGAAAAACCCTTCTTAAACTTAAAGGAATATTCTTGGAATATTATCTCCCACATGAACTTTTACAACTTTCATTATTATCTACATATTCTACAACTTTTGATACAACACATACTCTACAAGTTTACGAACTAGAATACGAAAATATCTTATATTAAATTATGAAAATATGTAATAAAATTAATTATAGACGATAATTTTATAAATAAAAATATTTATTAAATTTTAAAGAATATATTTATTTTCAGTTTATGATGTATTTTATATACTTTGGTGCTATTTTTCAATTCTTAAAAATAGTTTGGTAATTTTAATGTCCTTATTTTACACACCTCTTTAATTATTAATATTATCTTATGCCCCACGTGTTTTAAATATTAATAGTTTAGTTGTTTTCCTTGAAGGTGAAGATAGATATATAAACATAAATAAATATATAAACTAAATGTTGTTTTGTTATTTATAAATAATTAAAACTTGTTCATACGCAAATTTGGGTTTGGATGAAAGAGAAATGATTTAAAACACAATTTACGTTAAGTTTCCGTTTGGTTCGAGCATCAGTTGGAATCAGTCTCAAATCAGTAAAATGTAGTATAAACTATAAATAAAACAATTTTTAAAAAGAATCCTGCAGTGAGACTATACTAAATTGTACTTCTAATACCTAACTTAAATATAAAGATGTAGGACAATCGACATGATTAAAAGATTACATCGAGCAACTATTTTAAGATTTTAGACCATCTCCAACCTTTTTCTCTACTCTAGAGTAGAGTTAACCAATAGTCAAAGTTCTTCTCCAACCGTTCGCGCTGCATTTTATTCTATATAAATATTTATATTTTATTCTACCAATAGTCAAAGTTCTTCTCCAACCGTTCGCGCTGCATTTTATTCTATATAAATATTTATATTTTATTCTTTTTACTTTAAATTAATTTTAATACCAAATATATTATTTAAATGAATATATCATCTTACATATATTTATTTATTTAAATTATTGATATATGATTGAAAAAAATACAATCAAATACAACATTATTTATGCCAAGATTATTTTATTTCTTAGAAGATTAATAAAGTAATTTCTACCACAACAAGAAAGTTATACTGAATTATCATTGTGTAATCTAAGTCATAGTTACTAACAATATATAGATGACAAGATTATTTTTTCACTAACAGTATACATTTAGATGTCAATATTATTATTTAGAAAAAATTATTTTTAAATAAAATTATAATTAAATTATCAATTTTTAATAATACATAGATGTTTATATATACAAATGTTATACGAAAACATTACCTACAAACATTATATGTAAACAAAAAACAAAGTAATATAGTGATGAACTCTACACAAAAAAATTTTATACTAAAAAGGAAAAAAAAAAATAAAAGCATCAGCGTAGATGAATAGTACAGCGCCATATCTGGCGCAGTACTGTAGACATATGTATTGTGGTGCAAAAAAATAGCACAGGGCTGGAGAACAAATTTTGCACAACTTTAGCGTAATCTACCGATATAGCGACGCGCTGGAGATGCTCTTAAACTTATAAATTCCAAATGTATATATTGCACAAGAACTTTAAGAAAAATTTTAAAATTATAATTTTTATTGATGTTGTTGAGCTTATAAAAGGAAAAAATAATTTCAATTAATGTTCCAGAAACAACAGTGTTCGAAAAAATTATTGTTGAAATCATCAAATAATTTTAATTAAATATTTCAAGAAATATAATTTTGACAATAAATATAACAATAGGGTATACATTTATATTTACATTCCACTATTGGTTGGATTTTATGTGGGAATGTGATAATTTCTTTTATCAAAAATTTTATGGAGCCATCCACCACTTAATGTATATTGTATTTATTGCAGGACACGTGTCAATACACTATTAGTGAATAAGTGTGGATCACTCATTAATTTTAAAACCGATTTTTGAATTCGCAGGTGACTCGCCTCAAATGCGGAGGCTTCATCTTCGCCCTCCGCTTCAATCACACCATGTTCGACGGCACAGGCGTCGTCCAGTTCATGTCCGCCGTCAGCGAGCTCACCCGCGGGGCCCACACCCCCTCCGTCCTCCCAGTCTGGGACCGACACCTCCTCATCACCTCGCGGGACCCACCTCGAGTCACCTGCGTCCACCTCGAGTACGAAAACCAAGACGCCACCCCCATTGACAACCACGTCCATCGCTCCTTCTTCTTCGGTCCGGCCGAGACCTCCGCCCTCCGCTCTCGACTCCATCCCGACCTCGGCAGCCGTTGCACCAAATTCGAACTCGTCACGGCCTGCCTCTGGCGGTGCCGCACGACGGCCTTGGCTGCCGACCCCGACGAGGTGTTCCGGCTCGACTGCATCGTGAATTTTCGGAAGAGGTTCAACCCGCCGCTCCCCGACGGCTACTACGGCAACGCCTTTGTCTTCCCGGCGGTGGTCTCCGCCGCCGGAGATTTGTCGAGCAAACCGCTGGATTACGCGGTGGAGCTCGTGAGGAGGGCCAAATCGGAGGCAACCGAGGAGTACGTGAGGTCGGTGATGGACCTCATGGTCACGACTGGCCGACCGGGTTTCTCTCTGGACAGGACTCTTATGGTTTCCGATTTGACTAAAATGGGGTTCGAGAAAGTGGATTACGGGTGGGGTGCGCCTGTGTATGGCGGTAACCCGGTGCCGGGAGTTGAGGAGTTTGCCGAACATGGAATTAGGGGGTTTCCCGGACTGTGCTTTTACGGCGCGTGGAAGAATAGTAAGGGCGAAAAGGGGGTAATGGCCCCCATGTCTTTACCCGAGGATGCCATGGAAGTATTTGCCAAGGAGGTTAAGGTGATGGTGGAAGGGAAATGATAAATGATTTACCTACTTTTTTGTTTTAAGTTATAAATTAATTTCGGTTTATTCAATTCAAACCATGGATTGTATCTGATATTTTATGCTTGTTGATTGTCAAATGACAAAAAAACCTATTACAAATGGTTACATGCTTTGGTTTATTTACGCCAATAGTGCACTATATTAGCCTATCATTAACTCCATCCATTAGGTTGTCATTGAAATCACAAATGGTACATAACCCTACGTGATAGAATTTAACTTAATATCTGACTAATTAATGAATTCAGTATCTGGTAGTGCAAATGACATCAATCAAGTTCAGCATCCCTCAAACCGTCCTTAAGCTACCAGAATTACATGCAAACAAGCGTCGGAAATTATCCCGACGTAGAAGTTCCAACACTCAAGTTAGTATTTAGAGAAGATACTGTATACAATGTATATAAGTATAGAATGCTTAGAGTGTGTAGACTTGAAATGATTATACCTCACCCTTCTAAATAGGGGTGTTACCTTGTTGTCCAAGTGCCCGATTATCTCGGCATATGAATTCAAGTTAAGTACCTCAAGGAATTTCTAGACCTCCTCAAATATTCCTAGGTCCACAAGCAAATACCAATCGAATCTCAGGGGATTTGCCATTACTTTCACCGATAGGCGGAGATAAATGTCACCGTCATTTTGGCAAAAATATCATGAACGGCGCGTTTTAGGTATCATGAAGGTCTACTCATATGCCCTCTTGTGGAGCTTCTCGGGCCTCTTGAGTCGAAGATTGGCCCGCCTTTCATTTACCCTGTGTGAAAGACTCGGTTAGGACAGATTTCCCCTTTCCTACCCATTATGAGTTGAGAGTTTTTTAGGCAATTTATCGAACACCTTGAGTGCAGGGGTTTGGAGTTGTGGAATTTGAATTGCACAAGGATGATTGATCCCCGTAGTGTAATCCTCACTTCACCGTACCACTTCAAATAATCCACCCACACAATTAAAATCCGAGAAGCTTGTAATACCTTGAGGTTGATACTTGACCGGAGGTGTGGGATTTGTCTGAAAAAAATTAGGGCTTCCGAATGTTGTTGAAGAGTGTAAGTAGAATCCGAGATTGACGGTGGTCGTCGGAGGTTGCTGTCAGTGGCGGGTGGTGCATCGCCAGAGAAGGCGGCCAGAGACAAGATGGTTGTGGATGTGAAAGTTCTGAGCTAGGGATCCCGAATTTCTTCAAATTGACGAGCAAATTTTGGTTGAATCTCGTCCTTCGGTGTTGGAGAGGATGAACTGAGATGTTGGTCGGATGAACTTATGAATTTTTAGGTATTTGGTGAAGAAAATCTTGAGCGATTTCGGTCGCTGTGAATTTTTGCTTTGGAATGCTGAGAAAATGACTGAAATCTTCACCAAACAGTGTTTAAATCGCGCTTATCGCGAGTCGCGGCGCTCCACGAACCATGAGTCTTTTCGTTAACAATTGTTCTGCAGCCGCGACCTGTTCCGCCGCCGCGGGCTTGTGGGAGCCTGGGATTCTGTTCGTTCCTTGTAGTTCTTTCAGTTTTTATATGCTTCGTTCTTCCATTTTTCTGGTTCCGAGAACCGCAACATTCGTTCTTTCTCGACAGCATCCAAATAGAAGTTCACCTTCTTGATGGCCCAAAATGCCTTGTGCTCGATTTTCACCGGGAGATGAGAAGCCCTCCATTTGACAAGACAAAAAAAAATCTCAATTCTCTTTCAATGGATATTGTGCACATGGATTGTAACAAAAAACCATATATAATTAATCAATATATAATATATTAAATACACAAAAAATAAGTCTTGATCAACTTTACGTGTAACAAATATCATACATAAATCATCCCATAACAAATCATCTCTCTCTTTTTTTTCCTTTTTTTTTTGTAAAAATTCACATTGTCCAAACAAAATTTTTGTACAACTTTTAATGTAATATGCTTCATTTGGCAAGATAAAAACGAAAAAAACGAAAATAAGTAATCAATTGACACCTTACTTTGTTTTGCATTATTAAAGTAATTATATTTTTATTTATTTATTTCATAATAGTCACTACTAACTAATCATAAAGTCACATTAAATAATATTCTATTCTAAAACTATTTTTCAAACTATTTATTTAAACTCTTATTTCTTTTTTAGTTCATTAAACATGTTTTTTCTTAAAATTAGTTAATTTATTTTTATGGTATAACCAAATCCTTAAAATTTCGTACACAATTGCTATAATAATAATTATAATATTGCTTTATCTTATTAATTGGTCACAATCGACCAAGATTTCAAAATTTATATTATTTGTGATCAATATAACTATTAATATGGAAGTTAAACAATTTATATTTCTATCATTAACTTTTACTAATGTTAAAATATATAAAATATGATATGATCATTATCTAACTTATGATTTTAACTACTACGTACATACACACACCTATAACATATAAAATCTTCTATTGAATCTGCTTTCATGCTTTTCTTCCGCCCGGTTCTGATGTACTTGAGCATGCACACAGGATCGAATACTAGTTCATATTTAAAAACGAGACCCAACCTTAAATTTAATGATGTTTTTTCCTCCATTTTTTATATTTATTTATTTCTTGATGTTTTTTATTTATCTTCTTGATGCTTATATCACCATCAGAAAAATATTATGATGATCCTTATTTATTTATGAGTTGGCCTAGGCACAAGCGGGCTGCACCAGTGCTGAGGCACAGGTCTACCGGATGCTGGTCGGGTCGACCAACCGAGAACTTTTCGGTGAGTTTTACGGCACATTTCCGACGACGTTAAGCCTGAATGGAGCGCATTTTCTTATAAAATAAAATATAAAAAGAGACAGGAAAAGCACAAAATATTGAAACGACACGAAAATACACAAACGAGTAAAACAACTAAATACATCGGGAAAAACCTAAAATAAACTAAAACGAGAACAAACTAAACACTAAAAGACATAAAATGACAACAAAAAACATAGAAAATAACCGGAAAAACCTAAAATAAACTAAAATCATGACAATAGATTAAACACTTCCAAAACACATAAAAGAACAACAAAAACATACAAAACATTCACGTGCTCGAGACTCGGGCTCAATTCTTCCTCATCAATTACGGCTAAATGGATCTGAAAATCACCAGCACACATGAAAATGTACGACAAATACAAAAACACAACGCAAAGATGAAAAATACAAGAAACGGATGAAAATGGACTAAATAAACACATAAACGAGCCCAAATAAGTTCGACTCAAGGCAATGAAAACAAAAAATAATCACAAAAATGTACAAAATAACCTCTAATTACACCAATGTGTACTTTAACCTTTTCTCACCCAGTAGGTCTTATGTTAGCAGATACTTTTATTTTCCAAATGCCGTACTTAAAAAAGTAATATATAAATAAGTATGACATCTGATAATATAAATATGCATTTTTTTTCACATAGTATGAAGGATTGACCGGTCTAAATGTTAGGCTGCCCTAAACAAGAATACAAAAATTTGTTCTTTTGTTTCTCACCTTATAGTCGTTACTTTAAACAATCATGGTATGGTCCTATGCCAAGCTGTGTAGCATTACATATTGACTCGTAGTCTCGTACAATAGGGCTTGTCGTTCAATTGGCACCTTCCATCCTTTATCCTGCAGTTTTTAAGAATTTTAACGCCCCACAAATCCCCTATAATTAAGAAAGGAACATATGCCGTGTAGATTCATTTGTCTTTACTTTTGAATTTTTGGTCTGATTAATCTTACAACTCCTGATTTTTTCAATTTGCACCTTGGAAAAATGTACTAGTTTTTGCATGTGAATCACATTGCGAGATGCACAGTCCCTTGACAGCCCCTATAAATTGTGGCTCCCTACATTCGTTGTTTAAAAATGTCATTACCCGTGAAAGTTGCGACTTTTTTCAAAGTGACCCGAAAAATCCCGGAGCTTCTCCGGCCAGCAAAGCCCACACCCCACAAATTCAAATCTCTTTCCGACATAGACGATCAAGAGGGCCTGCGTGTCCAGATTCCTGTCATGCAGTTGTACAGTAAAAGCCCGTCCATGGAAGGTAAAGACCCTGTTGAGGTTATTCGAGCAGCTGTCTCAAGGGCGTTGGTTTACTATTACCCATTGGCAGGGCGGCTGAGAGAGTTCAGCGGCAGGAAACTGGTGGTGGAGTGCACTGGTGAAGGAGCTTTGTTCATCGAGGCTGATGCTGACGTGTCGCTTGAGGAGTTTGGAGTCAGCCCTCAGCCGCCGTTCAATTGCTTTGAAGAGCTGCTTTACGATGCCCCAGGCTCTGGCGGAGTCATCGGTTGTCCGTTGATACTAATTCAGGTTTGTATTTGTAAGTTGTAACTCATGCCTTTGTGTTTTCTTTCGGTTTTCAGTGAAGTTGGGAATAAATGTAAATTAAATACATCATAATTGGTAAAATTTGCTGAGAAGAAATTGTACCTAAAGTAAATAATTATAGCTACTGGCTGTAGGATACTTTGCAAAAATTCTAAGTTTGTCCTATAATTTGGTCACTGTCCAAAAATCCACTCGGTTATTGGCCACTTTCAAACTGGATCCAATAATTTGACAATTTAATCAATTCTGGTCATTTTTTATCCGGGCCCTGGATAAAAACGTGATGTGGCATGACGTGGCAATTTTTTATCTGACATGGCGTGAAGTGACAGCTTTGTTTGTATTTAATAATTAGGTGGAAATAAAAAATTAAAACTAAATAACAAAATATTAAAATTAAGTGGAAATAATAAAAAAAAAAACTACAAGCGGAGTAAGAAAATGAGCAAACTTCCACCTCCGGCAAGCATGCCAATTGACCAATGCTTGGGGGATCTCCTTTATTTGCTGGGGAGAGAAGGCGCAGGACTCTTTCCTCCGTGAAGGAGTGAGTCTGTCCTGGCCTATATTCACTAGTGGGATGACAAGAAAGAATCTTCGTCTCCGTTGTCAAAAAGGTCGTGGTCGGGCCACACTGTGGAGCTCGAGATTGCCGGACTGAAGTGGTGGCTCGCATAGACGATGACCGCAAAATTCGTTACCGGAAAAAAGTTCATCGGTTCCGGCAACGGTGGACGTTACTAGATGCGGCTCGGCGAGAGGAGTTTGGAGGTACCTTCGGATTCACGTGGGTCAAAGCGAGTCACCGGGAATTTGCAAAAGAAGACCGAAAATTTTTTATAGATCTACAAGCTTTGGCCAGAAAATTGAAAGCCTTATCGTTGGATTTTTTGTGCGAAATTTCGATATGTTGTTGGCCCGGAGAAGAGCTACAAGATGACTTAAAATTTTTTTAAATCCGGCATGTTTGGCCGGAGGCAGGCGGCGGCGGGAGGCGGCCGACGGCGACACGGGGGAGGGCGGTGGCGGTGTAAAAATAAGTTAGAATTATAAGGGTTCATCTTGAAAATTTTAATAAGACTAGTTTGTAATTTTTATATTTCTAATTAATTGCACCTAAGTCCTAAATGACGTGGACCATTGAATTTTGAAGTCAAAGTTTCTTATTCCCGCCACAAAAGTCACAAACATGCCACGTCACGTTTTTATCAGGACCCGGATAAAAAGGAAAAAAATTGATTAAATTGTTAAATTATTGGATCCAGTTTGAAAATGACCAATAACGGGGTAGATTTTTGGACAATGGCCAAATTATAAGACCAATTTTGAATTTTTGTCTTTTGATCCAAATAAAAAACGCAAGTTATACAAAATAATTTAATATTGTTATCCCAATATTATATTTGAAGCATGAATAAGGAAAGAAACTATATACTTAGGCCTTGTTTGGCAATCAGCTATTAGCTGTTAGCGGTTAGCGGATAGTATTAGCTGTTTTGACCAACTGATTATATTAGCGGCTTATAAAAATATGTTTGGAAAAATTAGATGTTTATTGTTAGCTATTAACATATAAAACTATTTGTAATACACTTTAATATATTTTTTAAGTTATAATCATAAACACCTTAAATTATAAATTATTTACATATTTAAAAATATTCAAAATTAATTAATAATAATATAATGGCAGAAATATAGTTTTCCTACCTTGAATATTTGAAATGAAGAGTCAAACAGTAACTAAATAAAAGATTTAAAATACATAATGACATATTTTCATGTTATAATATTGTTATTTACAAATAGAAAAGAATGAATACTTTATACTCCACAGAAAAATATAAAAATAAATAAAAGAAAAAAAAATGAAGGCTCAAATAGTAGTGTCCAGACATTTTAAACAATAAGAATTAATAATACTTTACACTCCAGTGCTCCACACAAAAGAAAAAAAAAAAGAAAAAGAAAAAAAAAAGAAAAAAGCCCCTAGTGTCCACTGTCCAACATTTTAAACCAATTAATTACATGCTCATTTATAAAAAAGCTATTCTTAAGCGCTACATGGAGCAGCATTTTCAACTTTGATGAAAACACTGCACAAATAATTTGTTTCACCAAACATATGTTTTTAGCTGATCAAATTGTCAAACAAGCTAACTTTGGTCAAAATGCCAAAAATTGGCCAAAACACCATTATCCAAACAAGGCCTTAGAAATATGACATGGCTTCGAGATGTTTTCGCCGCTTCTTCTGGTCGCCTTCTCGGGCCAGTGTGGTAGGGGTTTGTCTCGGTTTTCTCCAGCTGAGGGTGGGGTTGGTTGCGATTATAAGTGGAAGAAATAATTCCAACTAAAATTGTGTGAAAAAAAAAAATTATTGTTCAGATTTCAATAGAAATTTTCAAAAAATATAATTCTGACAATAAATATAACCATGGGGGTATACATTTAAGGGGGGTGTATTCAATTCGGAATTTAAGTGACATTTTAAGACTTTTTGAGATTTGAGACTTTCTAGGATTTTCAGATTTTGGAAGAATTCTATGAAATCTCAAGTCCGGAGGTAGGATTTGAAGTGGGATTTCATATAAGGTTTTTTGTTTAGAAATCCCACAAAATCTTAAAAAGTCTTAATAAATCCTAGTGTCAAAAAAATTAAATACCTCAGGATTTTGTAAGACTTTTGAAAATCCCAATTGAATACCCCAGGATTTTTAAAAATTTTAAAAAGTCTTAACAAATCTAAATTGAATACACCAGGATTTCTAAAGTCTTAAAAAGTCCTTAAAAATCCTAATTAAATACACCCCCTAAATTTATATTCGACTATTCCGTTGTTGAATTTTATGTGGGAATGTGGTAATTTTTTTATAGTGACTTTTTTTTTGTTTGCTCTTTTATATTTTTTTAAGGGGTTTTGAAATTATATGATAATTTGTAATGGTTTTAAGTTATGGTTCTCTCTTGGGTTTATTTTTACTTTTATTTTTGCAAGGGTCTCACTATAAGCATATTAATTTCAGGCAAAATTGCATTTTATGCCCTGTAACTAGGGGTGTGTGGCAAATGTGGACAACTTCTTTTTGGTTTAGCAGAAGTGCCTGAAATTTGTTAAAACCCGAAATTCGTGCCCAATTTGGGCAGAAATTTCGAATTTTAATAAGTTACTGTCTTGTTTTGTCACACGAAAAAACGGTCAAATCCGGTAACTTGTAGGTAAATTGAGCACGAATTCCAGGTTTTAACAAGTTTCAGGGAACTTTTGCCAAACCAAAAAGAAGCTGTCCACATTTGCCACACACGCATAGTTACAGGACACAAAATGCAATTTTGCCTTTCAGATTTCATGTCAAACCACAACAACATCAAATTCAAAACCGATTTTAATTTGCAGGTGACTCGCCTCAAATGTGGAGGCTTCATCTTCGCCCTCCGCTTCAACCACACCATGTTCGACGGCACGGGTCTCTTCCAGTTTACGTCTGCCATCGGCGAGCTAGCCCTCGGGGCCCAGCGCCCCTCCATCCTCCCAGTCTGGGACCGACACCTCCTCAGCGCACGGGACCCACCTCGAGTCACCCACGTCCACCGCGAGTACGACCCCTTGCCCGACGCTAGAGATCCCATCCCACTCAAAAACCTCGTCCAACGCTCATTCTTCTTCGGTCCAGCCGAGATCTCAGCCCTCCGCTCCCTTCTCCAGCCCGACCTCAGCATCCGCTGCACCACATTCGAACTCGTCACCGCCTGTCTTTGGCGGTGCCGAACGGCGGCCTTGGCCACCGCCCCCCACCAGGTGTTCCGGCTCGACTGCATCGTGAACTGCCGGAAGAGGTTCGACCCGCCGCTTCCCCATGGCTACTACGGTAATGCCTTTGTCTTTCCCGCGGCAGTCTCTACTGCCGGAGATTTATCAGACAATTACCCACTGGATTATGCGGTGGAGCTCGTGAAGAGGGCTAAATCAGAGGCGACTGAGGAGTACGTGATGTCGGTGATGGATCGAATGGTCAAGAGTGGGCGGCCTCTTTTCTCGATGGCGAGGACTCTTATAGTTTCTGATTTGACTCGCTTGGGCATTGAGAAAGTGGATTACGGGTGGGGCCGTCCCATATATGGCGGTATTCCGGTACCGGGAATCACGGGGTTTCCGGGAGTGTGTTTTTATACCCCGTGGAAGAATAGCGAGGGGGAAAAGGGGATATTGGTCCCCATTTCTTTACCCGAGAATGCCATGGAAGTATTTGCCATGGAGCTTAAGGTGATGGTGAAAGGGAATGGTAAATGATTGGGAGGGGACTGGTCAGGACAACAAGTTTCATCAAGTTCGGCATGTGAAATTTGCACATTATGTCACTTGGAATTGTGCTCACAGTATCATACTTTGTAGACAGTGGGGCTATATTAGAAAAACCAAAAACATTAAGGATTAGAACAAGAAAAAAGAAAATGTATGTACAACCTATATTTTTCATTACAATGTAAAAAAGTATTTTTCTTGGTAAATGCAACTTTCTTTCTTTCATTTTTTTTTTAAACAGCGTGCCTCGTGGACGGGTGATCAGCTCGACACTTGTTGAATAGTGTGCCTCGTCGCTGGTCGTGCACGGGTGATGTCAACGACACCTGCGAGCTGGCGGAATGATTCTACTAAATGGACCTAAATAAAATCACCAACGAACAAGAAAAAGTACAGCAAATAAAAGAACACAACGCAAAATAAAAAAAAAATAAAAATAAAATAACAAATATGGATTGGATAAAAACATAAACGAGCCAATAAGCTCAGCTTGCCAAAATAAAAATACAAAATTAATAATTACAACAAAAACATACAAAACTTTCTAATACCTCTAATGTCTACTCTTAACATTTTCTAACCCAATAGGTCTTATGTTAAGCGACTAATCGTTGAGCGTCCGGGAGGACCCCAGTTGCCTTCCTAGGAGGATCCCCATTCGGAGAGCCCAGACTATCCTCGGGCCAGATCTCTAGAGGATATTCTTTCTGCGAGTCCTGCCCACCACTGTCCTCAGACAAGATCTAGGTTCACGCGGCGCTCGGTCAACCAAGCCTTACCCCTCTAAGATAGACAGACTCAGCCTAGCCACGGGCAGACCCAGTTAGGTGAACCTCTGACATTTGATATGTCAGTCACATCCCTAACCTGGAATGCCCGTGGCCTGGCTAATAGGGCCACTCTTGCTCACGTTCGTTCCCTAGTTCATGACCATAGTATAGAATTTGCTGCTTTTCTAGAGCCCATGACTCATAACCCCTCTTTTGACTCATACTCACAGAAACTTGGTTGACATTCCGGCGTCGAAAATATATCTAACAAGATCTGGTTCTTTCACTCGTGAGACTTCACCTGTTGGATCATCCATGACACGGATCATGTCCTCCACGTTGAGCTCTCTGCCGCCCATCTCCCAGAACCGATCTTCCACACCCTGGTCTATGCCAGTTGTTCGAAGGTTGGTTGCTATGATCTGTGGGACACCATGCGTGAGATTGCTGAGAGCATGGAGGGATCACAATGGATGATTAGCGGTGATTTCAACATTTTTTCTCCACCCCGATGAGCGCATTGGTGGCCAGTCAAACCGCTCTGCGGAGATCTTAGATTTCTCTCAGGCTGTAGTGGATTGTGAGTTAATCGATGCTGGATACGAAGGTTCACCATTCAAGTGGAAGAGGGCCGGAGTTAAGGAGAGGCTCGACCGTGCCTTGATCTCTGAGGCATGAACGAGGGTGTTTGTGGTCACGACCGTTAAACACCTCCCTCGAATGAAATCTGACCACACTCCCTTTCTTATTCGGTGTCGGTTTTTTAGCACCCCCCGCCGCTCCTCCTTCTGGTTTCAGAACATGTGGATCCACCACCACACGTTCCATGACATGGTTAGGACTTCTTGGCACCACCCGACGGGACTTTTTGGCATGCACAACTTGGAGGCGAAGCTAGATAAACTTAGGCGCGTTTTGAAGCAGTGGAATTGGACGACTTTTGGCGACATCTCTCAGCGCCTTGCTGCAGCTCAGAGTGCGTATGCGGAGGCTGAGCGAGCATATGATCTGGACTCGTCTCCGGAGAATAGGTCCGTGATGCGTCGCTACCACGCTGAGTACTAGCTCCGTCTCCTTATGGAGGAGGATTTCTGAAAGTAGAAGGTTGTTGTTCACTGGGTTCTGAGGGGGAACGTAGTACCAAGTACTTTCAGGGATTTGTGAGGCAGAAGCGGGTTAAGTAGTACATCCATTGTATCGAGGATAACGGGTCTTCCTTGACTCAAGAGTCCCAGATTATGGAGTCGGTTGTGACACACTTCCAGTCCCTCTTCATCTCAGATCGCAACTTGTTTACTCCCCCCAACGCTTTCTTTTTCCCCACCATCCCGCAGACGGTCGACCTTGTTGACCTATGCGACCTCTCTAGTAAGGAGAAGATCAGGGAGGCTGTTTTTGGGATTGACCCCAACAGGGTCCGGATGGCTATTCGTCTCTCTTCTTTCAGGCCTGCTGGGAGATTGTTGAGACTGACATTGAGGAAACTGTGGTGGAGTTCTTCTCGGGTCACCAGATGCCGGAATCCTTCACAGCGACCTCTGTTGTTTTAATTCTTAAGAGACCTGACCCGAGCTCCTGGTCCGACTATAGACCTATTAGCCTTTGTAATGTGACCAACAAGATCATCTCCAAGATTCTTAACGGTCGCCTAGCCCCACTTCTCCCTTCCCTCATCTCTCAGAAGCAGAGTGGTTTCATCAAGGGTCGAGTCATCAATGATAACATCCTTTTGGCTCAGTAGATGATCCATGACATCTCCCATGCGAACCGGTTACGAGCCCCAAACCTTGTGCTAAAGCTAGATATGACTAAGGCATATGATAGGGTCAAGTGGACGTTTCTCAGGAAGGTTCTGTTTCGGATGGGCTTCCCTGAGCGTTGGATTAGTTTTGTGGAGGCGTGCATGGAGCACTGCACATTCTCGGTTCTAGTTAATGGTAGCCCCCCTGACTTCTTCCCTTCTACCCATGGCCTTCGGCAGAGTGACCCCCTATCCCCCTCCCTTTTTGTCCTGGCTGCGGACTACCTGTCTCGTTGCCTTGACAGCTTCATCCGTGGCTTCCCGAGGATGACCTATAACATGCGTTGCTATGGTCCCCACATATCGCACCTCTCTTATGCGGATGACATTATTATCTTCACTCGTGCGGATAATAATGGACTGGCTAAGCTCATGCGCCTCTTGTGGCATTATAGCTCGGTCTCTGGTCAGCTGGTCAGTGTGCAAAAGAGCACCTTCACCCTTAATCATCACATTGCAGACCAGTAGGCCCATTGGGTCCACAAGCGCACTGGTTTTGCGCAGGGCGACCTCTCCATTACTTATCTTGGTGCCCCCCTATACAAGGGTCACCTCTCGCATGAGCTTTCTACTGGCGTCAGGCAGAGGATGATTGACCGGATCTCCGGTTGGTCACACAGACACCTTTCCTTTGCAGGTCGGCTTGCTCTGATCAAGAGCACCCTCAACACCCTTCTGCTCCATCTCCTTACGGTTCTTGACCCCCACCAATCTACCCTTCATGAGTTAGATCAGATACTGGCTCGTTATTTTTGGGGGCATAGGGAGGGCTCCCAGAGAGGGAGATGTTGGAATCTGTGAGGATCTCGTTATGTACAAATCACGAATTCAATAGCAAACGTAAACCTATGCGCAGCGGATCTAAAGGTTTGACGTAGAGAACTTACGACTTAAAATTTATGTAGATCTGGTTGACCACGAACGGTTGACCGCAATTGATTGACCGCAACACGCGTCTTGGGTTGCACGAACAAGATCAGATCAAAACTGGATCAAACGGATGCAAACAGATCAAAACGAAATTTTGCTGCCAGACACCTTCCGGCGGCGCGTGAGGGCGCGTGCGGCGTCGGATTCCGGCGACGTCGGCGGCGATGGAAAGCTCTCGTCGAGACGGTCGTCTGGGTATACTGTACGTCTCAATCGGACTTCCGGTTAGTTCTGTAGGTCAAAATCAATTTCGTCTCGGTTTACCTACAGATCTTCTACTGTATTACTCAATACACCCTTCTTCAACTTGTACCAGTGGAGCAACAAGAAGAAGATAAAGCTCGAATGAGATCTAGAGAGAGAGATGGTTTCACGTGAGAATGAGACTTCTATTCTCTTCTCATGAGCTTAATGATGTATATATAGAGCTACAGTAGGGACCCTAAGGAGATTAGGAAAAGGGCTCCTTAATTAATTAGACTAACTGTGGGCCAAACCCACTCCTCTAATTAATTAAATAATATTAATGGGCCACCAACATTATATTATTGCACTCCCTTTCCCTAGCCCAAATTACATTTGAGACTCCAATAATAATTACTCGATTTACCTCCCCACGTTTAAGATATAATGTCCATTAATTAATTCGATTACTGACAATCAAGAATTAATTAATTTATTATTATTTCACCGAAGCTAGCGCTCGTTCATCACATTCTTATTATGCCGGAATTTAATCCACCTGCAGGGTTTAGCATAACAATCCTTCATGAACTCACTCCGGGGACATCATCAAACTAACGCACATGGTGACCGTAAATATCCTAACAGCACATCCTATATATAATAATATTACCCAAAACAGTAGGAATATTAATCCAGCGAACTGAACCTCACCCATGTGAATCAAAGTAATATATATTATATATATCTGCCTGTTTAATATCTTACGGGTTAAGAGAACGCAGTAATTAACCGAGGCCTAGTTCATTTACGACGATCAGTATAAAATGAACTTCTCCTCTCTGGGATCCTGTTCAATACATAAATGTACTAGTGCAACTAATCAGTCAAGACAAACTGTACAGTTGACACTACAACCGTTCGGATGGGGTGTTCATGTCCATCTAGGTTGTGAACAACTATTCTTGTTCGCAAGTGACTGATAGAGTGATCTTCGGTTCGCCCGATGACGACCCACCCTATCTAAGTGCAGAACAACAGAACGTAGAACTTGTTTAATCTAACATGATTCTCATTCATAAAGGGTAAATGTGTAATAACATGCAAAGCCAAGCTTTCAGTATATAACACTAACAATCTCCCACTTATACTTAAAGCTTTCGCTTTTACAGTATAGTCCTATCAATCCGTTATTCTAAAAGACCTATGTCGATCCTATTGCCATGCTCATGACTCCCATTCCTTCCACGTGTTTGACGAAGACCTTCCCCGGCAAACTCTTCGTGAAAGGATCAGCTAGGTTGTCCTCTGACGCAATCTTGGCAACATCACCGTCTCCTCTACCAACGATATCCCGAATCAGATGGTATTTGCGCTCTATGTGTTTGCTTGCCCTGTGGGCTCGAGGTTCTTTTGAGTTTGCTACTGCTCCACTGTTATCACAGTACACGGTGATACCACGTGGCAAACTCGGTATAACCTCTAAGTCCACTAAGAAGTTCCTGAGCCAAACTGCCTCTTTCGCTGCCTCTGAGGCTGCTATGTACTCGGCTTCCATGGTGGAGTCTGCCACGCATTTCTGCTTAGCACTCCTCCATGAAATGGCTCCTCTTTCCAAGGTAAACACATAACCTGAGGTTGACTTACTTTCATCCTTATCTGA